AACAAATTGAAGGATAATTCCTAGTTATAGTTATAGTATCAAATATCAGGTGAAGATATGACAATGAATTATAATTATCATCTAACCATATTTGAATACACCAGTTTTATTAAGAAAAAATATTTTGGAATATGCTAATTTAATGTATAATGTAATTTGAAGTTAATAAGTAATCAATTTATCAATTTTAACTTCAGTAACTCCCTACACATGATATCATACAATATTATGATTGAATAATGTTCCAAGTATATATATATATTTACTAACCTTCACAGAGTTTGTTTTATTAATTCGAGGTCTGAAGTTATTAGGATCTCTTCTGAAAGTAATTCCAAGTAGCTCCAAAAACCTATTCATTCCAGCTAATAATCCTTGAGGAGTATCTGCTGTAGATGTTACTGATGGTTGACCTTCTAATACAATAACTCGATCCGCCAAATAAGTTGCCATAATAAAATCGTGCTCTACTACAAATCCTGTCTTTTTAGCATGCAAAATGAATCGCTTAATAACTTTAGCAGCAACTAAACGTTGTTCCGAATCCAAATAAGCAGATGGTTCATCAATTAAATATATATCTGCAGGTTTTCCTAGACAAAGTGCAATAGCAACTCTTTGTAATTCTCCACCAGACAAGTTTTGAACTTCTTGATCCATAATGTCATCAATTTTCAATGGTTTCATAACTTCTGTTATAAACTGTGGATGAATATAAGCTTCACGAATCTTTTCGTGTAAAAGCACTCGCACCATACACTGACTTTTAGGACTGATTTTTTGAGGTTTATAGCTGACATTCAACCGTGGTAATTCAACTGCAACATTAAGTTAAGAAGTTGATTTAACTATAGAATATAAGACATTGGAACAATCAAAAGTAAAATACCTTTGGCACCATCAGGGGGCATAATACCAGCCAAAAGTTTAATGAATGTTGTTTTTCCGGTACCATTTTCACCCAACAAAACTAAAATTTCAGAATCTGTAAACTGCCCAGATTCAACCTTCAAATAAAAATTGCCTAAAGTTTTTGACATCTCTGGATATTCGTAATGAGTCATGCGTTTAACTTCTTCTTCAGTAGCACTCTCTGAGACTTTAAAAATAAGACTTTCATCTCGGAAACGTAGATTTTCAGTTGGTACAAAACCATCCAAAAATATATTTATGCCTAAAATATTATTAAAACAAATATATGAAAAATAAAATATATTAACATTTTTTTATTTATGATATAAAATCCATTTATAYATATAATTTTTAATAAACATATGAAAAGTAAAATTTTAAGCCAATAAAGAAATATTTCTTACCTTCACGTACTGAAAAAGGCATAGTGACAACTCCATAAGCTCCAGGTACTCCATAAAGAACACAAATATAATCAGATAAATAATCTAACACTGATAAGTCATGCTCTACTACAATTATATACCTAGAAAGTTTTTTTTCAAAGATTTAATTGGTATTTTAAATAGAATTTTCAAATATAACTTACTTATCAGGAGCAATTAAGGACCGTATAGTTAAAGCAGCCTTTAAACGTTGTTTAACATCAAGGTAACTAGAAGGCTCATCAAACATAAATATGTCTCCATTTTGTATACAAACCATTGCACACGCAAAACGTTGCAATTCTCCACCAGACAGTTGTTCGATTGATCTATCTCGTATTTTATCCAATTCTAAAATTAATTTAAAACATAGTTATTAATGCATATTAATATTTAAATGAGATTAGGACTTTATGATTAAATAAATAATGGCAGTCAAAAAATAATTATACTGTAAGTAAGTACTAACATACCAAGGAAATCGCATATTTCTTCAATATTATTACGTTCATTTTTCTTATCCAATAACTGCTGAACAGTACCTTTAACAGCTTTTGGAATTTGATCAACATATTGCGGTTTAATCATGGCTTTTAAATCATCTTCTAAAATTTTAGTAAAATAATTTTGTAGTTCAGATCCTCTAAAATGATTTAATATTTCAGACCAATCGGGTGGATCCTATGAATATTTCAAGATAGTAAAAAATAATTTAAATATCTGCAATAAAACATTGACAGAATTCCATGTTAAATTTAAATCAACTCACAGAAAAACGTCCAAGATTTGGTTTTTGTTTGCCAGCAAGTATTTTTAATGCAGTAGATTTTCCAATACCATTAGTTCCAACCAAACCTAAGACTTCACCCTGTCTTGGTGTTGGTAATCTATGCAATTTAAAAGAATTTTTAGAATACCTATGTGTAGTATCCTTTTCTAAATTGCTAGGCAAATTAATGATAGTTATTGCCTCAAATGGGCATTTTTTGACACATATACCACAACCAATACATAATTCTTCTGATATTGAAGCTATTTTATCATTGGGTGTTACTTCTATACATAATTTTCCCATCCTTACGACAGGGCAAGATTTTTTGCATTCTTGACGACATCTTTTGGGTTTACATTTATCATTATTCACAATAGCTATTCGGATTTGTTTATCCGTCTCTTCAACAGCTTTGTTTCGCGGCATTTCAAAATATTTTTTAAAACTAAAAAAAAATCGTTTAATATTATTTTAAAGAATGTGTTTGGTTATTTTGTATTAGGTAAAGTCAGAAGGTACTAAATATTGTTATTAACTTTAACGATAAAACAATAATATGAGTGTACAATAATTTAATAAATAATTATGTAAGTTTTCATACCTTAAGAAATTATCAAAAAGTAACAACTAACAATTATTGATGAACTGTTATTATAGTATACTTCACTAATAACTATAGAACTTGTTTTAATTACAGAAATACAGAATCAACCGAAATTAAAAACATTTACATATTAAAATAAGTGGCTGTGAGAACAAAAATACAATATCATCAATTTTATTTCAGATAAAAAAAAAAAACACGTTGACATCGGCTTTCGATAACCTTAAATTCTTAAAAGTTGTATCCAAAGAATAAGCACTTTTTAAGTAACTTGATAATCCATGTGAAAATATATGTACCGCGGTACAAGCACAGAATTGATTTGGTACAAGCCATGATGATAAAACGATTATAATATAAGATAATGTAGAACCCAGGTCCCWGATATTATATGTTTGTGACAGATGGCGTCAGGCATACACACGGCTATGGATTATTATTATTATTATTATCTATAGMCGTGGGCATAYATGAATATCCTATGTTTATTTTAATATTTTTATTATTTTATTATAATATAGATAATGATAAATGAATGGGCGATTAATTAATAATTATTATTCTTCCACTAAAAAAGTAAAAATTAATAGTGTTTSAATTTAATCACCATCCAAGATTCCAATTTTGTAGTCGTTTTTGTACTTTAGTATATGTAAATAAGCAATAAATTTCCATTTCTAGTCCAATTCAATTTATTTAACATATTACAAAATATTTAATTTTCTCTTTCGCTTACATCATTTATCTAAAATGACAGAAAACAAAGAATCTAAAGAAACAAAATTTAAAGGTAATTTTCAAATACTATTTAATCTTTCTTTTAAATAAATAAAAATTTGAATTAGTTTTTGATAATATGATGCACAATATTTGTAGAATTGGTATCCTACAGTGAACCGGCTCTTCGCAATAACTCTTCAGTCGTTGAATACTGTCGTACTTCAATGTCTGCTTTATCTGGGTGTACTGCTGGCATTCTCGGATTGACTGGATTATCTGGATTCATATTCTACATATTTTCTGTTTTAGCGTTATGGGTAAACTCACATTGATATATAATTATAATTTTTTTTTTTGAAATCTAGATAATTTAGGTTGTATGCCAAAAATCTCCTATTCAACTTATTACAAAAGTCATGTTTTGAAATGACGTAATGTTTGCATGCCAGAATAATAGGATCTTTAACAATTACTGGTTTAAAAAAATATATTTTATTTACTCTTATCACTATTAATGATTTGATTTACAGAACAAATTCATAACCCTGAACAAAATTTAAACCCATTTTTGGATACTGTTCTTCATTCATCATATTAGTTAACCATTACATTTTATCCCTTTCATAAAAGCAATTTGTTTAATTTTTCTTAATTAATAATTCACATTTCTTGATATGATGTATTATTGAAATGCCCTATCTATAAGGATATACAAATTACTTTTACATAAAATACATAAAATGAGTTCCATTTGGACATATTTTAAATTGTATTTTAAAATAAAATTATGTTTTTACTTTTGAATTTTTGAAACGTATCGTTTAAAATACACTTGAACTATAGAACTACATATTATCTAAGTTTGAAAATTATATTCACTCATTTTTGGACCCTTATCTACTGCTACAGCAAAAATAAATTTCACAGTAAAAAAAAATTKACTTGTTACAAAAAAAGTATATCAAAATTGATTTCTATAAGTTGTTAATCACTTTATTGTAAATCAAAGTACAGATAAATTAAGCGTGGACAGTCTGATACAACTTCATCAACTTCTTYACATCAAGAATAAATGTCGAGGTTCAAATTATTCATTAATAATTAAATACATRTTTTAATACAKWRGAATCAGTGGCACAACCAGAAATTTTTCTTAGGGTGCCTAACAAAATAAATTGTTTTAATTTATATAAACACTAAGTATATGGTTTTACTAATAATACTATTATATGTGCCACTGATAAGAATTTAACTAATTTTAGTACTGAAAAAGCATAATACTTAATACACACACACATTTGGATTTAATTAACTATTTTTTTTTTTTAGGGTTTGTTGTTGTTCAAAGCAGGAAATTTGTGGCAAAAATATTTCCTCAACAGACACAGTCTATTAACAGGAGGTTTTTTCAGTGGACTTTTTGTATCCTTTTTATAAAATACATTTTTTTTAAAGTTACAAAGATTTGTAAATATAATATATATTCAGGAACGAATTAACATTGTCTTTAATATTAAACTGGTGACATTCATTTTTATATATTATTCTTAACAACCTTAAAAAACACAATTTTTTTCTAAAAGTGAAGTATATTAAACTATTGTTGTCAATACTTTAAATCAATTTAATATAAATTTAATGTATAAAAATAAAGTTACATTCAACTCCCTAAAAACATATCTATGTTATAAAAATCAAATTGTAAATAGCTGCATAATTACTATGTATGTATTATTTGGAACATGAAAAGTTGTTTGTTTCACATGTTAGACTCATCTATGAATATATTTTTCAAATTTTATGCAAACACAGTTGTTGCACAATGCAATACCCACACCACTATTTGATAAAAATGTATACTTTTTTGTTAATAAAAATAAAACAAAATGCTGTTTGGGCCATTAGATTATGATTAGTGTTTGTTCACTAAACAATAAAATCTCGATTTATTACTTGTCATTAAAAATCCATAGTTATGATTATGATTATTTTTAATTTATAATTTTGTTAATGTGAACCTGAATATATTAATTAGTTGTTACAAACATATGAAATTATTACAAAATTGTTATTAATTTCCTTAATTAAATATTTTTAGACATATGTATTATTTTGGACGTATCCTTTTTGAATTTAATCAATACAACAATTTTAATTAGATATTTTCACAATTTTTAGTTATATTTGACACAGTGGTGGGCACAAAATGTGTGATAAAGGGTAGTCTTCATCCATGATATTTTTTCAATTTCAACTTAAAACAGTGACTATAAAATGTATTTTTAATGTTCAAAACAGTTTATGTTAAGAATTCAGCCACATTCCTTCTATCCCCATCCCCACTACCTAATACAAAATCATTGGCAACCACTAATTTGGGCATTTGACGTGATTGAGCTTATATTGAAAGTCCTCAGTTCACCTCTTATAATCCTCCCCCTCCCACCCATAAAAGAATAAAATTAAAGCGCTTACAAGTGGTACATGACTCAGCTTATAGCATGGAAAAAAGGGTAAATTAGAGGTGACCACCAATTGAAGGAGTGGGGAAATAAGTTATAACCTATATGTGAAAACTGATTATTTAGTATTAACCACGATCTAAAGAAGATCTATCTTCTTTACAATATGGTATTAACTATAGTACCTATTTTAATAATAACATACAACAGGTTACAAATATTTTAGTGAATGCCTTTGTTGGGTTATTGGTGCAACAGTTTGGGTAAATTATTAAACTTGCCTCTAAAAATACAAAGTTCACCATAACACTATCTACATTGAAGATGATAAGTTTTGATTTTTTAGCTGACAAATAACACTTAAGACTTGATTTACTACAGTAGCGGTTCCCAAACCATGGGCCGTAGGTACCTATACTATTAAATATTATATACAGGGTGATTCTTTTATCAAACAACACTCATTATTTCAAAAACTATTGACTTTTTCAAATTTTTTTTTTTAAAAATTTAGAACCATCTTGTTCTATACTCTATTCAGTTTAAGTTGACCCACTCGTCAACCGAAAACCGGTCATGATTGCGCATGTCTCGCAGCGCTAGTGTCCGATGTCGCCTTACCACCTATTGACTATGACACYGGTYGACTCCGGTCTCCGATAGTTAACDACGATCGGCGACCAATCACRGATCACCATTCACCGACCAGARGGGTCTAGCTGTTTCGGCGGCTTAGTATGCGTGCACGAGAGTGGGTCAACTTAAACTGAATAGAGTATAGAACTATATATTTTTTAAATATTTTCACCCTTTCAGGTTAACCATTATCAACTTTTGATTTTCAAATGACAACCTATACTTAAAATTTCATAAACTAAAAAGGTTATTTTTCAATGAATTTTCACGTTTAAATTTTCATTTTTCGTTAATCCGTTTACAAGATATAGCCTCCCAAAGTTGGGTGGTTTTGGGTAATGTTTGTGTGTTATAGGTGTATGTTAGGTGGTATTTACACACAGACACCATATAAGTGTTGTTTGATAAAAGAATCACCCTGTATATATAATATAATTAGGTTTTTTTTAATAAACAATTGTTTTTTTTTATATTTTTTATTCCTAATAACTATATATGCATGTATATATGTATATAGTATATTATATTATAATTTTATGAAAACGTATATAGGTATGCTATGGGTGGGCCTCAAATATTTTTTTACAAAATTAGTGGTCTGCGAAACTAAAAAGGTTGGAAACCGCTGTACTACCTATAGGGTTTCATAGGTTTTTAAAAAATAATTCATTGATTAGGTRTAACATTTACATTTTAACTCTGTATTATGGGTTGAAGTATTTAGCAGTTAGCTGCAAATTTAAAACTTCAAAACAATTTTTTATATTATGTAYCTGCTAATTCTGCCTCACTGTAACCCATTGACATGTCTCTATGTATGTATAATAATGATGAATGACATAGTATTAAGGTTACATATTACATAAAAATGTATTAGTAGATATTAATAATTATTCTTAACCTTATATTAACAGATTTTTGTATGGTATGGTACATGTCTATTAATTTTATGTTAACGTTTTTTTTTTGTTTTTTTTTTAAGTGTGAAATAAATTGTAAATCTTAGATGTATTATTTTGTGAAAATAAATAATAAAAACAATTTATTGCTTTATAAGATTATATTATAATAATAATAATTTTTTTGTAATAATAATAATATAATATAATATAATATAATAATAAATTATCACTAATTTAACAACATGAAGGTAATTTTTTTAAGTTTACCATAAATGGTTATAAATGTTTGGTTAGGCTGTTTCATTATAATATTATAATAGAATTAATTTTGTAAATAATAAAATTTTAAACAGTCAATCATTATTACTTATTTAATCTAGATTCTACATAGAACACCAGCCTTAAAAAATCAATTAACAATATTTTTGAGACCTAATAGCTAAGTAATAAACAATTATTTGAGGTCATATATTTCACCGAATCCAGTTTTTGTATTGTCTGTTTGGCCATCATCATTGTTTTTGACAATCTCATACTCTTGTAGTTCTGCCTCCAACTCATTTTCCCAATGTTCTTCTACAAACCGGGTCCGTAAATTTTAAATAAACACACAAGGATAGGAAAAGTACTTATAGATCTTATGGGTATAAATTATTATTGCACATTAAGGATATAGGAAAAGCGATTAGAAGAGAAAATACGCTTTTTGGGGGAATGGAAGCGAAGCGCTTAAAGAAAGTCGTCTTGTGGTTGCAATTTGTTGACATCGTTTCAAGCTGTTAACACAATACACACACACACACACATACATATTTGTATAAGTTTAAAAATACTTTCAGTCTACACACATACTTGAATGAATTTCATGTATGTTAGAAAATAAGCATATACTGAATGTTAACCATAGTATGATAATTAAGAAGGGGACATCAAAAAATATAATAATTAAATCATTCAGTAGTAAAATGATTTTACTTACCGATTGCATATAGTAAATTAATTAATTAAATGAAAACTTTAAGTAATTTATATAAATTTGGAACGTTTKAATTAAAAGGTATAAAACAATATTTTATGAATTATGTGAAGTCACCATGCTATTTCAGATGATATAAAAATGTTTAGACTCAATAAATTGGATGTCAAATAATATTAACAATAATAATAAAAAAACAAGGATACATAATAAGATATAGTGCAATGCAAAACTATAAAAAACAAATATAACATAAATAAAAAATTACGCATATGCATTAATTTAATAACAAATTAATAAAAAAAATAAGTGCATTGTTCTAATGTTGATTTAGGGTTTAATAGCAAAAAAAAAATAGTGCATTTTAAAGTTTTAATATAACCATTTTTCAATGTAATAAATAAATGATATTAATTAAACATTTTTTTAAATTTAAATTCGTTTAATACATAATATTTTTGTAATTTTACAATTATAAATTACCACGGGTAATGAGAATCAAAAATTAAAATTAAACAATGCAAATATTTAAATTTATGATAATCTAAAACTATTTTTATATACATGTTCAAATTAATTTTCATCTTTTTCATTTATGTTCTTTATAAAAAAAAGTAAAACAGTCTATAAAAATTGTATAAAWCTTATGGGTATTTGGTCCATTACTAGTAATCCAATTTAGAATTTATARTGACTTTAATAAACGTACAATKTATGATGTACCAGAATTTTGTATTTATTATATAAAATTTTAAAATAATAAGACAATCAGAATTAGTATCAGCCTATATTTAAATAGTTTTTTAATTATTAATGTCAATAAAATTATTTATGATTCTTTGGATATTGACTTTTACTTTGACTTACCATTTTCTGAAGACTCAACGCCCAAACTTTCTTTCAAACTCTTCCTTATTTCATTTATTTCATTTGTATCATGTTCTGCAAATGTGTCTGATACAAACTCTGATTCTTTCATATAATTGTCATTTTTTGTGGTGTCTATTGTTACAATAATAATTTTTTAAAGAAGCAAAATAAAGTGAATGCTAAAAAATAATATGTGCATTATTTCACTAAAATTAGAAGTAAATGGCATAAGACAGGTACTTAAGTCCAAAAATTACTTCATGCAAAAATAAAGCATCAAATTTTTATGAAAATAAACAAAGCTTTATGTTTAATTTTCAATGATAATTTGTCTAATACATAAATTAAAATTGAATGTTAACATTTTCTAAATATTAAAGTTTTAAAATAACTGTTGAATAATGTAAAAGATTTTTTACCTATTAACTACATATTATTACAATAGTTAATATGTATTATGTTTTAAACTATTTATTTATTTATTTAATTACCTGTCAAATCAGAATTGACATTTGATGATGCTGTTTTGTAATCTGTTGTCTCTAGTGATTCCAAATTGCTTGCATTGCAAATTAAATTGACTCTGTAGAAATAGTTTTGCCAGAAACTTTCTTCATTTATTCTAAGTAAAATAATTTCAGATATAAGATACATAGAATTATATTTTGAGAATTAGAACTTACATTTTGGGAACAAGATCAAATCGCATTTTCTCTAAGTTTGGGTCTTCAGCTAAAATAGCCAAAGCGACAGGATATGAAGTTTCATAATTGAAACTAAAATCTACACCTACTGGAGGACTGCGTACAAAATTACGTTTATCCTATAGATATAACACAAGTATAATACCTTATTAGTTATCATACAAATAGTTTTAACATACATGTACAGTTAATTAGTTAACTATATTATGTCATTATGTCATATCTCAAGGCAGGGCCAGCATTATTTTTTGCGAGGCCCTGGGCAAAACTTATTCAAACAATAACCAGCCTATAGGATTTCCTTGTAAAACATTTTTCAATGTAAATTYTAAGCGCGAGGCCTTGGACTATAAATGTCCTGCTTTGCTCTCCCTTTTAACGCTGGCCCTGTCTCAAGGGAAACAGAAAAATGTTTAAGATATCGAGTCTTAGTGTATGGTAAATTCAACGGGTTTCAGTTTACTTTAGAGGTTATAAAAAATTGAAATATCTACGTTTGACACAGTATTGATCTACTTTATTTATAAAATAACATTCTATATAATTAATACTTACTTCAAAACAATTATGATAATTTATGTTATTTAAATTCAAGAACATCATGATTCATGGGGCAAAATGAGAACAAATATGCTACAGAAGCATACACTTTACAATAATTTGATATTTAAATTAATAGATCATTTCAACTAATAAACATAAGGGAATTAATATGAGAGTTATTTGAGTTCTTTCATAATTTTGGGTATATGAAGTTGAATAATTCTATTTAATTCAAAATTAGGGGAAAAAAYATTGTCTAAAAGAAATTAATTACCTAGAATTAAGGAATCTTGGTTAAAAYGTTATAGTTTTATACTTACTGTAGATAATGCAAGACATTCAGCTTTCACAGCTTCTTCATTTGGGTGACCAATCCAAGGTGGAACAGCAGCAACCTCACTATCTTTTTTATCTTTTAAAAATGACTCTTGTTCTTTGTTTAATTCTCCAAGTATTCCCTTTACAATCATACAAATATACAATCATTACTCAAACATAATTATTATCTATACTCTATCCAGCAAGAGAACGTGCTAATTCTGCAAATATCACTGTGTCACCCAGCTATTGAAAGTGGTTCTCCAACAACAAGTTGCTGCATGGGGAGCACAGAAAAATGATATTAGTTGGCAAGCTTCACATTCTTTTGCTGGGCAGGGTATGTATGTATCATTATAATCATAGTATATTAAAATATTGATAATTAAATCTCAATATGCACTGTAAAGAATATGATCTAATTTAATTTAAATACTCAGATCATATCAAACATAGGTGCATATGTATTTCTTATTCTATTTTATGAGAGATATAAAATTATATAGAATCTAATTTGGTATAATTTACATTTTTGTTTACACCACAACATTACATGTTAACAYGTAAGCAAAATTATATTTTTTAACACATCTAGTCATTATTTTTCTTACATTATATACTAGATGATTTCCTAACCCAATGGATGTCTAACCTATCTAAAATACTTTTTATATTTTCAGTGCTCCTCTTTCTTTTTTTTTTTAATAATTGTAATTTATACATTTTTTTAAAAACTTTTATTCAATAAACAGAACCTCCTATAGGTTTATCAAGAGATATTTATATTAATATAATACAATATAGGAATAAAAATTAGTTTTAACACAATACGATTTATAACATTTAGTCATCATCGTTAAATTAAAAATTCATTCAATTTTTGTAGATTAATATAAGTAGACTGTACGAACTGCAAACTATGGAATTTATTGATACTAAAATTTTATGGTATTTTAAGTATTTTATTGTATTTTATTAATTTATTATTTTTTTAAAAGTACACTAAAACTTATATATTACTGGTATCTATTTATTCAAAAATATACGTAATTGGGATTTAAAAATGTAATTCTAAAATGTTCACAAAAATAATGAAAATCTGTGAAGAAATTAACAATTTAAATGCTTACCTACTCTTTACAAAAAATAATTTGGCTAATTTCTTTGTTATTAAACAAATATTGAAATCTGCATATATTAAAAAATAAGAGCACAATTGTTTTAATAAATTTAATAACTTATACAGTATGAATAAACTGTAATATTGAATAAAAAGTAATAATATTTGAATAGATATTTATAAATTTCTGTTTTTATTTTTAATTATGATTAGTTTTATAAAATTATGTAATACAACTGATACAATTATACAACTCAAAAATAATTTTATATGAACTTATTTSAAACAATATAATCAATACTAACTAATAATATTTTTATACTGATTAATATTATTCACATATTATTAATCAATTAATATATATTTAATTAATCATTGTAACATAAATATTTTTATTTTTTTATTTTTTTTTGCAGTAGTAGGTCAAGGTTGGGAGAAGTTGCTTAAAGCCGTACAATGAGTAGGGTTGGGAAATGCAAGGGGATAGGATGGATCAATAAACTGCTACTGCTATTAAACAGCATCCCTCCCCTTTGAGCACTTCCGTTATACTTATATGCCACAAGAGGGTGGCATAAATGAAAAAAATGATACATTTTTAAATATAGTGCATCCACATACAAGTAAACCTAACCTAACCASCAAAAATTAACTTATTTATTTTATATATTAGATTGTAATTAATTATTTAAGCTATTAATTACTTGAAATTAATAAATTGTTATGTTTAACAGAAATTAAAAAACAAAAAATAAACAATATTTGAATGTGTATGTGTGTATGATGAATTATAAAAAGCTCTCAATTATGTTAAATTATAAAAAGATTATCAATATAGGTACAACACAATAAAATTAAAATAAATAATATATTGTATTGTAAAGAAAAGACTTACACTATATTAAAAAATTATATTTTTTATTCTAATAACTTATATATTGACAAATATATTATATAAATATTCTTTAAAATAAAGTAAAAAAACCCGTAAAAAACAACATTTAAGATTCTATACATAAAAAAATAGACAAGTACTTCATACCAATGTTAGTTTTTAAATAAATATGTATGGGTAATTAAAGAGTGATTTCTATTTTACTAAAAGAAATGTTACTTAATAATACATTCCCTATTTTGAGCAGTACATTGGTTCATTTAAATCATGACTACTTGGATTTTACCAAAATATTTGTAGAATTTAAAAACGATTTTGTTAGGTTTATATAAGCAAACACACAGATAAAAAAAATCTATATAAAGGCATCATGGTACTTACGTTTTCTCCAACAGTTTTCTTGATTTTAGCTCCTGCTTCACTGACTGTTTTTCCTGCTTTATTCACAGCACTATATAAGAAGCTTCCTATCGATTTTGCTCCTTGTAAAGCTTTAGTTGATACTGGAAATATAAATAAAAAAAAAAAAAATCAAAGAACATTAGAATACATAACTATATTAAAGAATAAAACAAATGTTAAAGGAATGTTAATGAATTAAGATTAGCTTATGCATAATATTTAACATAAAATTTATGATATCAATTTCATTATCAAGATAAATATTAAATTAAATAAATAATACTGTCATAATATAATTTTTGCTTATATTACCTAGGTACTGTATACTATTTTAATATTGCCTAAACAGTAAACCAAAACCAAATTATTAATGTAATCAGTTATGAAAAATTCTAACCATTTCCTCCTTGATTATTACCCAAATCATCCTCTCCTTCTGAAATAGGAGTATCTGGATCTCCAGTAGCACTAAAACATAGTAAATTAAAATAAATATTATATTTTCTTTAAAGAAATAATTTATAATTCACCTAGAGTTATCGTCATCTTTCTCTTTAAAACTTTCTTTGGCAGCTTCTTGTAAAAGTTCTGCAGGGGGATCTGGTACAACTTCACTGTCACTTTTACGCAAGCCAGATATACCACTTCCCAACCAACTGGACATTTGATTTTTCACATTTCCCAACATCTCTAGTTTACTGGGCGGTTTTGATGGGCTAAAAATAATAAATACATTAGCTGTGTAAATACCAAAAATCAGACACACAATCAAAATACCTACCTAATGTTTTAATTTTTATTAATAACTTACCTTAAATCTTCTTTTTTTTCAATGTACTMCTCTGGCTGTTCAGTCTTTGGTGATGGTACAGTTTCTTCTACATCCTCTTGCTTTTTACCGATCCAGCTACTCATCTGACTAGTGATTCCGTTAAACATTTTAACAACAGTTTTTTTTTTTTACACTGAACTTACGAAAACTTATAAGTAAATATCAAAGATTTTAGTTCGTATATAAATATATATTGCTTAACAGAAACGGTAATTATTGCTATTGATGTATAGAAAACTGTTTGAACACAAAATGATTTTRAAATGTTTATGTATAAATGGAATTAATAGCTACGGAACGGATGGCAATATTTTTCGAAATGTATGCGAACGTGACGCCAACTAAGCAACGACATAGGTCCGTCCAATAGTACGTCGGAGACTTGACTGTTCAGTGTTCTGTCAACACGGAGTACGGAACTACGGACTACCGAGTAGTGATTATATAGTGAGTACTGAGTAGTGAGTAGTTGTAGTGTAGTACGCACGGGCAACACAGGAAAAACAGTACGCGGTAATCGATTTAAATTTAGAGAAAAAGATTTGGTACGGTGGTGTACTATTGTAGCTCTTTGATACAGATTTTACGTCATTTTGTACGTTATCAGTGTGGACTGTGATAAACGTACCTATTTAAACAGTTCAATCACAGATTATGTGGTTAAATTAAATTAAATTCTGTGGTTCAACTTCCCATTACCATAGATATTATCTATGTCCATTACATAAAATGATGTTGGATTCTATTTCTGGATAGCCTCCCTCTTCATGTTATTGTTATTTAGTATTATTTCTGATTTTTTTTCTAATTTATTTTACCTTATTACCTTAAAGCTTATTGTAGTATAGATTGTAAATATTTTTATTTTTTTAAGTAAAATACAGCGAGATTCGATAAAATCATTGAACGGTTATTGTTAATTGTAATTATTATAGGTATTTTAAAATCTGAAGTGTTTGGTGTTTCAAGTATTTACTATTTGAACATTGTTCTGAATATCAATATGAGTAATGACTAATGAGTAATGACAAATGACTAATTTTACCTACTACTAATTTTTACTAACTATAATTGTATATTGTCACTGTCAATAGTATATTAAAAAAATACATATAGTATGTAGTATATGAATATAGTCGCAGTCAACTTTCAGTGTAACCGTGYATTGACTGTATTGTCACAACTGAAGGTTCAAAAGGGTCTTCAACACTTTAAAGTTCTAATTTGTCACCACTTATTTTTTAGGTCTACGTCAAACTATTAGTAAGATACCTACAATCAATTTCAAATTTGTGAAATAATTAAACTTAAATGAATACAATTTTGGACATAACCACGTAACCACCTATATGACATAAGTCATAATATAAATAATTCRTTGTAAACTTATAAATTATAACATATTTCCTTAATTGTTAGACACATWTTAGAAAAATTGCAAAGATATTTTTTTATTTCAGCCAACAGGTCGCGCTTAATTTTTATCATTAATATGAAGTGTGTTAAAAATTTAAAATGTGTATAAATTGTAAAATGTTATTAAGTAGGTACAAGGTGCCAATCATACACAATAGACATATAAATATTTATATGTCTAATGTCTATGATGCCAATCAATTATTGCAGTAATGCAGTCTTTTATATTCTAAGATTTTTTAATTTTAGTAGTAATGAGTAAAGCCTTTGAGATTCAGAAAATATTTACAATTACAACCCGGGGTTGGTAAATTGAGTCCCAAATGACCCTAACTCGGTAAATTGAGTCCCTGGGAAAAAAATGTAGTAGGTAATTTGAGTCCCACGGAAAAACGATTTATATGCATTTAAAATTTWAAAATATGCACTATACAATTTTTATTTGTGATTTGTAGACATTCATTGACTGCATGTACCTATATGATTTTGAATATAGCAACATGCATTTTAATTGAATTTTTRTTAATTATATAATTATTTTTTATGCAATAAAAATGCATGTTGCTATTTTCAAAATCATATACATGCAGTCAATAAATGTCCACAAATCACAAATAAAAATTTTATAGTGCACATTTTTAAATTTTAAATGCATATAAATCGTTTTCCCTGGGACTCAACTTACCTACTACCTATTTTTTCCCCGGGACTCAATTTACCGCTTTCAAAATGTACCAAACTTATCTCGAACTCAATTTACCTAGCCCCGCGGGTTTTATCACTCACCAAGGAAGGGGGGATAATTGAGGTTCAAAAATTTACGTAATTGTGTTTTAAATCTATATAAAATTTTAATTACCATATGTTTTAACTAATATGTAAATCTTTTTTTTTTTTTTTGTTAAGTATTTATTTCTAAATCCTGTAATTCCTTATTTTCTTATCTCGATATTTTTGAGAAATACTTTGAATTTTCAATTTCGACAAATCTTAATTCAGAAACTACACTATAAGTCTAAAAGCAGTGACGGTGCTATGATTCGCGAGGCCCTATGCAATTTATAAAAACAAGGCCCTCTTCTCCATCTCTTGGACAAGTGACAACGAAAACATAATGTTACAATCGTACAAAACGCCAATAAACAATTGYGAGGCCCTGTGCGGTTACACTTCGTGCCCACCCATGGCACCGATACTGACTAAAAGTTAAATATTGAAGAATTTTTCTATTATTTATCGTATTGAGTAGTGCTAAGCACTAAATCCGAATCAATCCATATCCGGATGACCGATCTTCGTAGCAGTGCATAGATTAGATTAATCATTAAATTGATTTAAAAAAGGTATGCTTTCAATTTTCTACCGTAATAATTTATACGAACTAAAATGTAAATTAAAACACATATTTTATGAGAGGTTTACGTTAGCCAATTATTTTCTCAAATATAATATGAAAAAGGTTAATAAAAATATTTTATTGCATATTTATAAAATCCCAATGCATCCTCATTTAGTACATTTATCCCGATATTGGCTATTTTGGAGGAGTTTTCAAAAACTGAACTTAGCATCTTTAGCACAGAATTCATTTTTACAGATTCGGGCGAACACAGCATATCTTCTAAAAACGAATTACATTGCTTTCGTGGTCATAAAATATTAACAACGAATTAAAAGTAGTGTATAAAAATTAATGATAATCGATGATAATCTACATTATGCACCTATAAGTGATATCCCCTTTATAAAAACTAAAATCAAACCATAACAAACTCGCTAGGTATCATAATTCATAAATCACCTCAAAGTTGAGGATGGAAATATTTTTTTTAAATCTTAGTCAGGTGATAACAAACACAAACAGCACATTATTGACTATTGTACATGACTTTGAATTGGTTTTAGCCGTTTTAGGTTTATATTTGTAGCAATGTAGGATAATGTAATTTGTTAATATTAACGTTTAAAATTTCTGATGGGACGTTTTAAGAGATGAGGTTTTATAATTTATATCCTATTGACCACCTCCCTACTATTGTCAATAACGCCATGATCGTGGCAAGTCTGACGCCCAAAATGCTATATAATCTGTACCCGCCAATGGCCAATCCATTATTTTGTTTTGCACACGGTCAGCGTGTTGTCCGTCTCACCTATGGTATTAGCACCACAAATCGATGCCTTGGAAGAATAACCGTCAAAAAGATAACACGAAGCTATTTACTTCGGTAAATCAATAAACCAGCAACGTTGAGCTTTGTACTTATATAAAAAAAAGGGAGTTTCGTCGTGTTATTTTAATGTCTGATTACGTGTTTTTTCCTCCATTCCAACACTCCAAACGCATTAATTACGCGTAAAGGCTTTAATATTAAATAATATTAACAAACATTATAAAAAAAAATATGGTAAACGCATACAACAATATAAAAAATGCTAACAATATTTGTAAATTAGTTCATCACTCCCAACTATTTTGTTATATAGGTACTCAATAATTCGAAGGTTTCAAAAACCGAAAATCGTGTGTCATGTTCAATATAACACGCAGCTAAATCAGTTCATATTATATTTTTAGAAGTACATAATTTCTGTAATCTATATTCTATGTTGTTATTTAGTTTGTGCCTACCCTGCAATACAGTAAAATAGTATGAATTTTATATAGGTAGTTATAACTTTATAAGAGAGCCTAACTAGGTTCTCTAGTTATAATCGTATGTATTGATGACATTACTCTACATTATTCAACATTTCAACATTTTTCCGTTTACCTCTATATTTTATTATGATAAAATATTATTATCTATTACTCGTTATATTATCTAAAATCCAGTAAAATGTTTAAACAAAAAATAATATATGTTTATTATAACATATTTTAATGCATCCACTGAGATTTTCATTTATTGGATTAATTATAGCCAACAGGTATTGTATTGGCAGTATTATTTACATCACGTCAAGTCATCAAAGTGCCCAAGTTCGGACTTATTAATACAGCATTTAATTATTTATTGTTATACATGAATACGTTAAGGATTAAATGAACTATACAGTGGAAAGCTACGTAATCCTTGATTACCATAAATAATAATACATAAACGTGGGTTGGGACTGGCCGTGGAGTGAGAATTTGGCGACTAGTTGCACGTGCATAGCTGCCTGCAGGCTGTAGAAAAGGCGTGTTTGGTGTTTCCCAGGGTCATTATTGTTTTTCTTTTAATAAGCTAAGTCGCAGTTGTATGAATGCAACCAAAGTAAACAAATCGACATAATATGTGGCAATTTTGAAAAACGTTTTATTTATTATATTGTGTTAATTAATTTGTATTATATATAATATATATTTATGTATGCTGTAATACTGTATAAGTCGTATATGTTTATGGTTTTCCCGTACATCGTTATCGACGGGCACCGGACCATTATATTGTATTACTATTTGTGTTATATTTGACAGGATACGTTACATCCATCTGTTGTAACCTATAACCTGAAATTAACTATAATAGTATAGTTCAGTTGGTGGGGCCATGCCCCCACTCGCCCCCACCAAGTAACGCGCCCTCAGAAGCTTACCACGCCCACCAGCCAACCGTAGAAAGTTACATGCGCTAGGCTTACTTAGCAGCCAACAGTAGGGTTTATCCACCGTGCAAGCGCAGAAACACCTCTGCGGTACCCTATATAACCCAGTGCGCTGCATTCTGAACGCCAGTTTTACAGCAATCCGGATCGGAACAGCAACCAACTGGAAGAAAAGTCAACTACCATACCAGGCACCTGGGGCTCGGCCCCTGGTAATAACATGTTAGACCATAGCAGCCAAATGGACCAGGCCGGCCAGTCTTGACCCCAGCGGAAGCGTCTGCAAAGACCTCCGCTGCCAGTGGCGGGCCAACCGTCAAGAAACTTAATGTGGCAGGCCCCCTCCAGGCCTCAGGCTGACTCAGAATTCCAACGGACACGATCGGAACATTCGGAACACCAAACTGAGGGAGTAGCTTATCAAAGCGAGGTCYATCATCATAAGTGTTACATCCAGCGCGAAGATCGTGATGGATAAAACTGGGACGACATCTTGCGGCCCCATCTTGAGCTTCTTCTGACGCGTTAACGGCAGTTGACTCGCTTCTAGAGAAGAATGGCAACGTCGTGGGCTTGCCCAAACACAACCTACCTTCGGCCGGTGTCTCCAGTGAGAAGACCCACGTCCGACGCCAACACAGATATAGAACTTACCTCAGGGTTTTGGGACAGCCAGGGCTCGAGAACGGCCGCCCCCYAGCCAACGTAAGAGGAGTTCGAAGGCCTCAGCCTCCCAGTTCCCTCCAAGACCGAGGCTGATACCGCCATGGCAAGCTCTAGGCAAGCGAAAACAACGATGACTGCAGTGGCCCTCCGCTCGCAGCCGACGAGATTTTCGAACAAGGCACCAGCTATTCCCACCAGGAACGCTGATGAGGGGCAAGACTTACCGGGACACAATCCTGGTGGTCCGCAACTGTGGCCTATCCAGAGAAGACATTGGGACYAACGTCACAATGAGGCAGACGCGGGACGGATGTCTCCTCCTCCCGAAAGGCGTGAGTTCGACCTCTGCCGCGAAAAACATCGTTTCGGCTATGTCATCCAGGCTCGGTAACTCCGTCGGCAAGGTAAAGCAGCTTGGACTACAGGTCGAGGTGGAAGTTGATATCGATGCAGCCGCCACAGCTGTGACGCCATCCCCGGGCTGGACGACCCAGTGGCGAAAGTCGACAGGGAGGTCATCTACAGCGACGTCAGGATATGGGGTACCCGTTCAGGTCAACAGATTGCTACGGCAAGATGCCCAAGCACTTGGCCGTGATCATCACCAGGGTCCCAATCGGGTGGACCATGTTCCGCGTACGCCGTACCTCCGGGGAGGTGTTTCCGACTGCAAGGCAGCTGACAGAACCGGTGCTTGCTTGAACTGGAGACGCTATGAAGGATTGCATGGAAGCAGACGATCTGTGCGTTGTATGTGAGTCCGTTGGGCTCCCGAAAATTCCCCACAAGCCAGGTTCGGGCGCATGTGCCGCCAGAAAACATTCGGCAGGTGGCAAAACCGGCCAYAATGTATAGACTTCTTCAAATCAACCTGAACGCAAACTAAACAGTGGAACAACTCGTGGTTCAGACGACGGATAAGAGGGAGCGGATGTCCTCTTCATCTCCTAACCTAACCTGCGACCCACTACTGCCGGAAAGACAGATGGAGCTTCAGCTACGACCGTAAGACCTCCATGGGCCATCATACACGCCATACCCAGCTCAGCCACGGAAACGGCATCGCCTGAATGTCCTTCCGGGACCTGACCATCTTCAAATGCTACCTCCACCCCAGTTAGATCTAAGACTTCATCACCTCTCTGAGTGATCTAGACGACGCAATCTGAGCCAGAGGTAACACCTCCATCATACCGGCTGGGGATTTCAACGCATGGAACGTCGAATGGGGCTCCAGAGTCAGCAATCCTAAGGGCCGGGCACTCTCTGAAATCGTCTCCAGCCCAGGGCTTATTCTTGCAAACTTTGGGTACCAACACCAATGTTCAGACATGGAGCAGCTACCTGCATCATAGATATCACATTTTACAGGTTCGCAGCCCAGGGGTTGGAGGGTGCCGAGGTTGTGAGGACCGGAAGCGAACAATAATAATACGCGTTACGCGTGCCCTGCACCTATTTTCTTTTCAAGCCAATCATGGTATGCAAAATATTATATAATAATAGCATACTAATTACATAGAAACAACCTGTATACAAAAATAAAACAATGATTACAACGGTAATTGTGTGTGTATGTGTAACCAGCTGTTCCTCCGTGACCATTGATACTTAAAATTTATTTTGTTGCGGCGTTAATAGAGACAGAATCGCTGAGCGACCATAACTATGTCCTCTTCAACGTAGTCAATCACGCCCAGGTCCCGGCAACACCAGAACCTCACCCCGGCACCAACTGCAGCTGGACCGTGATAAAGCTCAACGGAGACGCCCCGAGTCTCTGGGAAAGCTCTCACATCGGCTGATCCACTGGAAGAAAGACTTTCTACTTGGCGCCTGCGATGCCTGCATGCAGAGAACGAGACCCAGTCACGCAGGCAGACGTCCAGTGTACTGGTGGAACGAAGCTATTGCCGAGCTACGTAGGTCGTCACAGGTCCTTCGTAGACAGTACCAATCATGTCTCAGGCGGGACGGCCACCCGGGCATACAGGAGGCTAGATTTTTCTATTCCGCAGCCACGAGGAATCTCAGGATAGCAATACGCGAAGTCTCTTGGCAAATCCTGGGCTAATCTCTGCTCTCAGGTGGACACAGATCCCTGGGGAAGACCATACAGACTTGTCATGAAAAATGTTGGCATCTGAAACCCAGCAGCGGACTCCAGCTAGGGGCAGAGAAGCCCTAATAGCAGACTCCCTGTTCCCTGCGGCCCCCGTCACCGACTGGAACTTGGCACCCTCGACTGCTGTAAATGACATGTTCCTGCAGGAATTCGACCAGGAGCGCAATGTACTGGAGTTCCAGAGGGCTGTGCGGTCGTGCCCGAGTTCACCATTGACTAACTACGAGTTGCCACTTGTAGGCTCTCTCTGGGGAAGACTCTTCGACCTTCGGGTGTCCGAATACTACAATAATTTAAAATTTTTTGTAGGCAGGCGTAAATACATATACGCGCTATACATTAACACGTTGTAAACACGACGTACCTACTGTATTTAACTACGATTAGTACTTAGTAGCACAGTATTATAACTTATAATTTATGGGTACTGTAGGGGTCCTTCACTAACGCTTATATATTTTGAGCTCGACGACGTTGGATAACGAGCAAGTTTTTCAAAGGAGAAAGTTACAGAGTTTATAAATGAGACGTTAAAAATTATTATTAAATGTTTATTAAGTTACAATAAAATTATATAAATTTGAGGACAGAACGAAATGTATCTGCCCGAGAAGTTAGTAATCTTATTTTAGCTAATTAATATTTCTATTAGGTACCTACCTAACCTACTGGTACCTACTAAAAATCTGAATGCTGATCACTGATGTCACAGCTGAATTCGCTCATCTACTCAGATTTTATATACTGAGTGCACATGTTATTTTTATACATTTTAATACTGAATGTAATAATAAATTGATAGTTATTGTGTATAAAAAAAAATGTATTTTATAGATGGAATTTGGTTTGTTATATACAATACTCGTAGACAAATATAAGTGCCATTCCTGATGATAATTGGCAAATATCAAGTGTTGAAAATTGTCAAATGCTCGATTTTTATTCAAGGAGTTTTTTAATTGATTTTACAAACATATTATTTAAATTTGAACTATAGTTTTAACGCCAAAATCTTTGGTGGGTAAATAATATGTCCAGATTTTACAGGTTTAACATTTTATCAAAATTATAAAAAGGGTAAGTGGATATCACTCTGCTGTATAGTAGATTACATGCAAGTTACTGTAATGGATGGTATTACATTTTATTTCGATGTTATAAAGTCATTGTATATGAAAAACGATTCTAAACAAGGACTGATTGTCAGTCTAGGATATTTTATATTAAATTAATTATATTATTTATATTGTTATTACATATTATATAAAAATGTTTATATATAATTAATTAAAATATTATTTTGTATTGTTTTTGGTTAAATTAATAGTAGCCTCATCATTTTATATAATATAAATCTTTGATTCATACTGAAAAATTCAGTGTTTTAATAATGTTTGGTAACAAGACATTAAGATTTGGTTGATAATAAAAAAATTGTATAACTAATAAGAACATAGGCGTGCACAAATGGGATGCCCAGTGATTATGATTTTTCATGCGGCAAAGCACCCTACGTACACTTCAATTACATTACCCATATATTTGTCATCAAAATACTTAAATTATCAAACTCAATTCAAGATATTTTAAAAGTAAACTTGAAAAAAATGTATTAACTCACTATGTGCACTCTATAGTTTAATATTTTGTACATAAACAGGACTATTATAGCCTATTATAACAGTAATGAAAAAAATAAAATAAATTTAGGCATTGTATTTATAAAATAATTGACTAGAAGATTAATGACAATATGTGGACACCGCCCTTTACAGTCTGTGCAGGCCTATAAATGAGTAAGTATCCAGAAATAACACATATCTTTTAAGATTATTTTGGTATATACCTATAAATAATATATGGTAGTAATTAAAAATAAAAATAACATTATATTCTGGATGTACAATAAACATTTTAATAAATATTTTATAATATACATAGGTGATTTGATGAAATAATATAACATTATCAAGCACAAACTGCTTTTGTAACATATCTTATTTTTAAATTACAAATTGGACATTTACCTGATCTACTCCATATATGTTTGGCACACGTGTAACAACAATACACATGTGCCGTTTTGCCGTGATTAAAAATGCCATTTTTTGGTTTTAAAAAACAAATATTACAAGAGTTTGTAGTATTTTCAAATGTATTAGATGTACTATCTTGAGATAAACATAGACCAGATATTCCAAGTGAATTTAAGGACTCCTGGGAATTTGAAGTAGAAGACGATTCTTGACAATCTTTAGGCAAATAATTTTCTTCTGTGCGGTTGGCCATGTTGTAAAAACGTTTGATACTCTTTGGTTTTGAATTTGACGAATTCTCAAATAATTGCATCCGATACTAAAGAAATAATAAAAATTTACAATTTAATAACATATTTTGTTTGAATTTAAAATATTAGTTTAATTTTGTCTACCATTTTTAGACCTCACATACTACTCGTAATATTAATTAGGTACATTTTAATAACCCCAGAAAAAATCGTTTAATTCATTATTGATTTAATAAACCAATTCCATCTTCAAAAGACTAAGGTGAAATCATTGACTGTTGTCTCACCTGGGAATTTTGTATAAGATAAAAAACTAGTTTCAAATGCAAGTTTTTGCTTAATCAAAACATTTATATCCAAAAAATACTAAATTTAGCTGTGGTATACTAATGAGGGATAGGGATTGGGATAAATCTTCCTCCAAGAACAAAAAACAAAAAACAAAAAATCAGTTTTGAAATGATTAGAATGARAAATAAAAAATACACACATCGTAAAAATTTCAACATGAGTATTAAATTTAGAATTTATCAACTATGCTGGAATTAAAAAAAAATATTAATTTGTTGTCTGAGGTTAAATAAAAGACTGTTATTGACATAAAAACTATTTCTTTATAGATATTTAACATTATTTATCATTATTAGTAAAGCAATTGTCTTTGTGTTGTGGCCAATGGGTATGTTTGTATTTAAATCTATTTTAGTAGTGGTATACTGGCGCCATCAAAATATTATTTTAGTTTATGTTTTGATTACTTATTTCTCTTTCTTTAAATATTTTTCTAAAAACTTATTTTTTAAACAGTGAAGAACTTAGCTTTGCTATCCATAAATCATTATTACCCAATATCAGCAGACAAGTTGCAACGGTTGTAAATTCTTTTGTAACAGAGTAATATTCAATACTTATAAGTTGAGGACTTTTTTGTATTACAAGACAACACCTTTTTTTTGTTTTAACTTATGTATAGTTAAGCATGCAAAAAACGATGATGAAGTCAGAATTTGGCTGTTGGACTTAGTTTTTAACTTATAGTTAATTAAACTTTTAAAATCAATATCATCGCTCAACTTGCTATGTAAAATCAACTTGGATAAGACTTGGATTTTATAACTTCAAAGCCATAAGCCATAAGTCCAACTGTCAAATTTCAAATTCATCATCGTTTTCAGCATATCAAACTATACTTTAGCCCACAATAGTCCAACTGTAAATAGCGCACTAATATTGACGCGTGCAAAGTCAGCTGGCCAAAATTTTTCCCATCGTGAATATGGTTTGGTATATAGGATGGAGACTGATGCGTAGTGACAGATAGGTTTTTGCGGTCGATTTACAGTCAGACTCTCATGGGCCARAGTACACATGCGCTTAAATAAAAAAAAATGGGTGATCAGTAAAACAGAAATATACCATATTAAGTTAATAAGTATTATTACAATATATATGATAGTGAAAACTCTGAAGATTTTAAATGATGTTTTAATAGAACTTATTGCTTTGGGTCAAGTACTCTGATTAGCAAATGTATATAATTTAATCCCTTTCCATAAGAAAATTGAATGGACACCACTGAAATTTAAGATCAAATCACTTTTATAAATTAAAGATTAAGCTGATGTGTATTTAATCTATGCCAAAATAACAAAAAATCCAAACTTTTTAAATTGAAATCCTATGCACTATCACTAATGCCCTACCATTTATTTCCAATCTTACTTTACACACACTAAAAATTTAAATAACAAATGATATCACTGGGTAGCTCTTTTCCTCAAGTTTTTATGTAAATAATCTTGTATCATTTATTTTTGTTGTTTCTAGGGCACATATTATATAATATTTCTTTTTAAAAATAAAATGTTTAATTTACTTTATAACTTACCTTAAAACACTGATTACAGTACTGAAAATTAAGGTTGGAATTTGGTTTTTGACATTGACAGCATTTTCTAAAAATTAGTGACGATTTAAAATTTGTCTCTGAAATGAATATTTGTAAATCTGTATCATCGGGGACATAACCATTCTCAATGTCAAGGAAGATATCGTTTTTTGTAACCTAAAAATTAACAGTAATTAAAATCATAATAATTGTTTCAATAATATAATTTTATACTATAATATAATAAGCATTTTAGTTTCAATTTGAATTTAGCAGATTATCCACGAATACCCCAACATCCTATTCTATGTATAGTCGAGAGTACTCTGTTTATGTGATTATTCTAATCAGAATTAATACTTACTACCTCACATTCTGATGAATCTGATAGACTTGAACTTTTATAGTCACAATCGCTTTGACTAGAACCGTCACAATCACAGTCACTATGGCAACTTGTTACAGATGAAAAATCAAGGAGATCCGCTACCTCAACTAAAAAAAAAGGTTAAGTTAATTAAAACTTATAATCAAAATATATTAAATTAAATTAAAAATTGACGTGGTGCATGAATTGTCTAATTTGATGAACTTTGATGAATCAATACATGTCAACTCTTGTTTGATCCTGAATAGATGATCAAGTTTGATTTTTCTTCATATCAAAACTATGTTTATTGAAATTAATTATAAATTATACATATTTATAATTAGTTGTTAATTTAAAAATTAACGTTCAATAACCACTAAAATAAAATAAAAATAGATTGAACAAAATTTTATTTTTGCATTAATAAACATTCAATAGATAAAATTATTATTATTATTATTTTGATTATTACAATTTTCAGTTAATTATTTAAAGGTGGGTGAATACAAAGTTAAGTTTTTAAGACAAAAGTGTACATTCATTAATTGATCATAAGGATCAATTATGACTGACATAACTAATTTAAAATGTTTTCATTTKTTTTACTTCTATTGTAATAAAACTCATAAAATAATAATAATAATACAAATCACAAATAATTAAAAAATTATCCCCATGTGCAGCCAATAAAATATTCTCATAAATAATGTATATAACACACATACATAAATATATGTATATAAATAAAGTAAATATCAATATGAGTTTAAATATTTTTAGTATTAAATCTTATGTCTATCTTACTTTATTATTAATTATTACCAAAGTATATTATTTAAATTAATAAAGCCCAGATTAAGACTATTGCAGAGGGCTTTAAATAAAAAAAAGCTTAGTAGCTATAAAAATCTGGACAAAGAATGTTGAAGCAGAAGTTTATTGTTCTCTAAAATTTAAATTATTTTATTACTTATTCATTTTTTTTTTTTTTTTAATTAATAGCCTTTAAAAATACATATCCTTAGTTTTTGTTTACTTTTAATTTTAATAAAAATATCAACTACATAAAATTGTTTATATTATAAAATATTTTTTCATGTTTTTAATAAGATTTTCATATTTTAGTAACAACAAAAACACTTTAAACAATCATAAGTGAAATATACTATTTCAACAAATAATTGAGAATTAAACCTGTCTCGTTTATATCAATATAACAAAACAATTCATTAATTCTAACTTTTATATTTCTGTTTTTATTCAACAACTAAATCCCTTTCTCTTAATCCGGACTATAAGTTAGTAACTTTTACTTATTATAAATAAGTAAAAACAGTAACTGTACATAGGCATATGCATAATAATAAGCAAGACACATGAAGCACATGATGACAGAAGTCATGCAGTGATGGAACCCTCCGAAAGTTAAAAACTTAAAATGATTGTGGCATTATTTGTTTAAATCACACAATTGTAACACTCAACGTCAAATATTTAAGTTAAATTTAAAAGTCAACTTAAATATTTTTAAAAAATGATTACTTGTATCTTTGGATTGGGTACTATGAATACTTTCAGATTGATCTGAATCATTTATATTTTGAAATAAATCAGGTGATTGTGATTTTAATTTGTATGTATATAAATATCTTGATTTTTTTTTGTTTACCCATGTGTCATACTCGTCCTCATCTATAAGTAAATTGAAACAAATTATATTATACTTAAACTTAATAACTCTAATATTAACTTATTCCTGGGAAATTACAAACTCATTTTAAATAGTACAATTTACGTACCATTACTATAACTCACATCTTCAGTAGGTCTTTTTAGTGTTTGGGGAGGCATATCTGAAATGAATTTTAATTCAAGAACATTACTTGAGTTTTCTGCAGATCACAAGAAATACACTAGTAGAACGTTATACAATAAAATATAACTTAAAATCTTTTGTGTARGTACATAAAAATRTGAAGAAATGATTCACTGCCAAATTCTCAAATTGAAAACAATCTTATAATAGGTATTTACAAACTGAACTGATCTCTCAAAGTTTTTAGCTGAATGTAACTAAGATATTATATTCGTCTTAACCAAAAAATTTGCATACCTCAGATATGGTCAGATTTGGTTTCAATAAAACCAAATAAAACACTTTGTCTAGTTACCAAGGACATAATTTTCAGCACTACAAAATTATTAATCATCATACAACTGACAATAATCACTATCTATCCAATAATTACAAGTTGATTTTTCGCTAAATAATAGGTGAAATAATATTATGTCTGTGTCTGTGTTTTGATGACCAATTTAAGATATTAGAAAACTCAATGATTATTCAAATAAAAACTATTTCATCATTTTGATTTTTTTTAGAAATCACACGTCTGCAAATATTAATTTGAATTATTTATAAAAACTGATAAAAATACAAAACATTCTTTTACAAACTATCAAAATGTATTAAATTACCAAAAAATGGTGGGTCTGAGGGAAAAAACAGGTATTGTGCTAACACCTTCTAAACTACATAATATGAGATATCTAGGGCCAGATTGGCCCTGCGAGTTACCGAGTAAAATTTGGCGGGGCCCCAATAATTTTGGGGAATTTAAGTCATCAGGTGACTGGCTGAAAATGTGTTAGAGTTCAACTATAGATATYATTGATATTAAGTTTGAAAGTGATAGATATCCGAAGATATTCGGCCCTGGATATATCAATGTCCATTATAACTAAAATGCGGATTTTTACGCATTAAAAACCAACCATATGCGCTGAAAAATATTGAATATGCATAAATATATTATGCACTAAAACATTGAAATATAATCAAAAGATAAAAAATATTTAATTTTTTAATTTTCTTGAATATTTAATTAAAAGAACATATTATTTAAAATTATGGAACCCTATTTTAAATACTTTTCTTAATTTTTTTCTAAAATAATGTCAATGGTGAAGTCATAATTAATATTTTCCTATCTTGGTATATATATTTTATATCTCTGATACTTTTGTTTTATATAATGATTATTGATTTAAAGTCTAAGATCTTAGAGAAAACTGTTTATACCTACAAGTATGCCTATTAATTTATTTTGATATTAATCAAAACTATAAAAATATAATACTTGTTTCTTAAATGTATGACAATAGTATATATTTCAAAAATGTCTACAAAAAACATTAAAATATACGCTAAAAAAATGAAATACACGATTAAAATTGTAAAATAAGCCTTTCAAATAGAAAAACTAGATACCAAATTATGCAAAATATGCACTAAAACAGTTTCATTTTTTAAATTGTTTTTCTATGAAACAAATTTTACACTCACTAGCATATCATACAACCAATCAGAAAGAAATATGCAAATGAATATTATTAATCCGCACTCTAGTTACAACTATTTGCATCAAACCACCAAATTCAATTATGAGTACTTATCAATATCTAAACTCTTAAAAACTTTTGATCACTTTATATTTTCTTATTTTACATCACTTTCTCACCAGCCTCTTTTTGACCTTCATATTAAAACCACCTTACTGTTAATTGTTTAAATCCTACATTTACAAATAATTTCCTTAAACACTGATGAAGATATTTTCACCTAACAATTATTATAACTTAATTACCTTTAACTAATAATTATAACTTATTTTTAAACATAAATAATTTATTTAGATATAAGTACCTATTTCACTAAAAAAAAAAATATTGAAATATTAAATTTCTAAAACTCATACAATTAAAATTAAAAAATCTACATAAAGGATGAAAAGTAGAATGACTTTAATAGGTACGAAAGGAATTGCAGGTAAAATTAGCATCCGTATAGGAGAAGTTAAAAAAAAGGAAACACTTTTTTTTTAATTCAGTTTAATTGAATTTTAATGGAAGAAAAGAATTGTAAAAATATCCACAAAAAATCTTAGAATAAAAATTCAAAAATGATAACATTAATACTATAATAATATTATTTTAAAATTGAAATCTCATATTTACAGTACCACATTCAATGACGAGGTACACTTGACTCACATACTACATAACAGTCAATCTAGCAACTTATAAATAATAACTATGTAAGTAGGTACCTACTACCTACCAACATAAGTTAAGTCAAGTGTACTTGGCTCAAACCAGTCCAAATATCAAAATTTATGATAAAAATGAAATTGATTAAATGGAAAATTCAGTATTTAATAATAAAAATCAATATGTTGCCATAATAATTTACCAAGACCATAGTTTTGTTAAAGTTAATAGTAAGGACTAGTTAACATTTTTTTTGCATTGATTTTTATTTTTGTGAGCTGTCTTTACCAGAAAAGACAATTGATTATTTGGTGATGGAAGTTACATGAAGCACCACTACTATAGAAAAGAGATTAACTACAGCTGAAAATGATACAATACAGATTACATATATCATTGAGCCCTGATTTAAACAAGAGATTATTTGTTTTTATTCTCATATATAACSTAATAAAACTATTTTCAATAATAAGAATAATGTAAAATATTTTTCAAAATGTGATTAAACAGTTCATATTATACATTCAATAAATTTAGAAAATAAATTAAGATAAAATGTACCTAAATGTCAAAAATAAATATTGAGATAAAGAAATAAATACTTAATGTTCTAATTARCTCTCGATAAAATAAATATTCTAACATAGGTGCAATATTATTAATCATTGATACTACAACATTGTGTAATAAATTGTTAATACAATAATTACCAAAATTTACAGAAGATAATCTACTTTTACATATTTTAATAGCTATATTATCATGTATACTAGTAGTAGTTATTTCCTTAATAAGTATCAAGCATATTATAATAGTTACTATTAAAAAAGTAAACTAATAATGAACTAATGTTGTATAAATTACATCAACCTAACTAATATATTTATATATGTCAATACATTATTTCAAATATTTTTAGACTCAGCCAATTATACTGTAAACAGGGCATTCATAAATAATTTAGCGTAAAATATTTAATTTAATAATGATTCACACTAGAACCAAATACAATACCTTATAAAAACATTAATATAAATAAACAAATAAGACTTACCTCGGAGAATACTACCTACAAATCAAACAGGAACAAACCAAATCAATTAATCCAGTAGAGTTGAGATGTTAATTGAGGCCATTTTCAACGTTTAGGTAAATGTTTTAAAAAGCTTTACATGAAATAACATGAGACATATTATAACAAATAGTTTGTTTTAGTTTTTACATAATATTTATATTACGACTTGTTACATAACGTGGGGRCAGTGGAATACTGTAAAGCATACATAAAACGATATGAACATAAAAAATATAGAAGATAAACCACTAAAGAACATTGTTGAGAAAATGAGAACTATTTTTTTCTTGTAGGATTAAGGACAACAGCGTGAGTTCATGAATTGTGTCAGTCGTGAACTCGTGACAAGGATAAAGGATAAACATTAAACATGTCTAGGGCCGATATTGCTCAATGGTATTTAGAAAAATAGAAAATGAAGATTATTTATTTAATGCTTTTATGCCTCCCACCGACCATTGGTACCACTCTGGGCACGCTGCCACGCTGTGAATTTTACGTTCATATTTTCACATTATCACAATTCACAATTCATAACAATCAACAGAGCGGTGGTGCCAGTCAGTAAAGTTGTGCACCACAGCACAACTGTGGCACAACCCACCACGACGCATACAACGGCATTTTTTTTTCTTAACATTTTCCATGAAAATTTTATAACCGCCGAGGCGATATTGCGATAAGAATTAGCCAATGAGGACGCTATAATAAAACAATATTAAAATATTAAAAAGTATAAAACTTGTAATGGGTATTTTATATGGCGTATGTTTCATATATAGCTACATAACTATTAACTATATAAGTTTGTTTTTAAATACCTCGCCAAGCCAAGACCCCTCGGGCCCCCCTTAACACATTGACCGCCATGAGCTCTTGTATGAGATCTCACCAGTTTACTCCCTGCCGCCAAGGGGATTTTACTTGGTAACAGTTTTGACGATTTAAACAAATATTGATAAAAAAAAAACTAAAAATGATATCTGCAAGCTTGTTACGCCATCTGAAAGTGGCAACACTGTACTTTTCAAATCCGGCAAAAAGTACCAAATATTGAGACTCCGTATCACGGATAATAGATATATCTATTATCCGTGACTCCGTATGAGATATTCAGTACTATTGTTCTGTAATCTGTGCCCTGTGGTACTAGTAAGGCAGTTGTTATTTTCACAATTTCACGTCCGACGTGAAAGTATTTGTTTTCACGCCCTGCTCTTTGATTGGTCGTTATATTGATAAGGAAACCCGCGTAATTTTGAATTATTGATTTTATTTAATTAATTAATAAAATAATTACGTAACCAGGGGGAGGGGTCCATGGGGATCGGACCCCCCGAAATTTTTAAATAGATCACCACAATTCAGAAGATACTTTACCATCTATATCGCCAAGAGTTCCTAAAAGAGGTCGACCATAAGGTAACATTACCTTTCTATATTATTAATATAGGTACATATTTTAACTATTATTAAATGTAGCCATGTAGGTAAAGACAAAACTGTGATTGGTGTACCTAAGAAAAGAAAACTCAAGACAAACTTACTTCCTTTTGAAAAACTTCCAGCAGATATAAGGCAGTATGAAATATTATGTTGGTTTGTACATGACACTATTGCTAAATCTGCTGTACATCAAAATAAAATAATAGATGAAGAAGATGTTGAAACTGTACCTGAAAAGGTTTCAAATGCTGTTTTACTTAAGGCAATAGCAAGCAATGAAAGTGGTTCCACTTTATTTGTGTTAATGTAAACCCTAATTTAAAAAAAAATATGGTTTTGCAAATTTTGCAAAACAAAACAAATTTAATCAAGTTTTATACTATACTACATTTAGACCATGAATTTTAAACTATTTTATTGATTTATTTACTTAATTTAATATTATTATACACTGACGACTGACTTGAATTATTAAAATTAATCTATATTCTGTATGACTGTATTATAATTTAAATTTTAAATATTTCTTATCAATATTACGACCAATCACAGGGCAGGACGTGAAAATAACCACTACGTACTAGTAATTGTTTTGAGATCTCAAATAAAATCTCATGGCGGTTATGAGTTACAAGACATTTAGTTAGGAGACAGTAAGAATAAATGTATAAAAACATTTTTTTTTATTATAATATTGAATAACGATTTTATAAATAACTTTATACAAATGTTTTTTTTCTAGCTTTAAGTTTTGAGAATTTTTTAACAAGACTTATACAACTGATATTCTTGACAATTTCATTTTCAATACATAATATTGATAATGCTGATGTTTTCYCATTTGATAATGATGATCGTAAATAGTTTTTGACTATCTTCAAAACAGAAAAGGACCTTTGCCACCACTGGCATTAGAACATGGCATACAAATAAATAATTTTAAAGCAATTATTTCAACATTAGGAAAAGTTGTGTTTAATGATGGAATATTATTAAAGTATTTTAACATTCCTTGCATGTTTTTGGTTTCATTGGGAAAATGTATTATGTATTTTTTAAATTGAACGATTTCTTCAGCAAATTCTACTTCTAAATCATTAACATGACAGAGTGAGACCATTCACGATTTACCATCATATTATTATTATTAATTAAAAATATTTATATTACTTATTAGTATATCAAGTTATTATCATGTCGATTATTCAATAACAATAAATTTTCCGAAAAATGGTTAAAAATAGCTTGTTACACGGTTTAAGATATACCGTGGCTTGTTAATTACCCGTTTAGCACGGACTATATATATTTATATATCTTAGTCCGTGCCGTTTAGTCACCTGCCCCTGCCACCACCCATAGGTCAACAAGCCAGTGTAGGCACATACACCGGTCCATAATCATAAATTACAATTTACAACACATTTTTCACAGATAAAATATTTTATCTTAAAATAGATGGTAGATATTTYAATTTTTGTGACCGTGGCGAATTTGGAGTCTAAACTAATGGAAAAGTACCATCTTTTTTGCCGCCCTATAAAATATTGCTACTTTTGCCGCCCTGGGGCACTTGCCCTAATTGCCCCCCCCCTTTGCACGGCTCTGATCATTTCCAAATATCACAATCCCAATGTAAATATTGCTATAATTTTTTATAATTAGATTTCAAATAATGAAAACTTATTTCTGTGTAAAACTAATTAATATTTATTTATTATAAATGTATAAGTATTCATTAATATAAATCATTATTTTTACGCTGTTGGTTAAACGTCTATATAATATAATATATTAATCATTTAAGTGTACAGTGCATACAATAGATGAACCTGATGAACAAAATATTATCGTTAAAGATGTAAGAAGAGTAAGCTTTAACTTTGTAATGAAGCTTCCATACGGTTATGCAGCCAAACTTCGGCCCAATATGAAGCGGCCCCATCCTAAATTTTCAAAAGATGTTGCCATGTTGGATCAAGGCCCTACCTCAATATAGGGTCCGGCGCCATTGATTTATATTCATAAGCATAACCCATAACAATTTTTTTTTTTATTCAATTATTGTCAATCAATTAGTTTTTACTCGTTCAAGAACCTTGAACCTTGAATATAATATTATGGTTCTTCATGAGGTGTTAGAATAACAGGTCAAAAATATTAAAATACTTTGGCACGATTTTTCGTTATACCTAAGCATTTAAATTTGGCAGAGCGGTATACCCAATTTACCACCTTTTTTAATAATTATTATCATAGAACAATAATTTTAACCGAATAATTTTAGAATAAATTCAAACTTTTTTACCGTTTACATTTTATAGACACGTYGTACCGTACCTACGAATCGTACGATCATAGAATATAGATAGATGCGTACGATAGTCGATTCGTACCAGAATTATAACTTATAAGGGTGTGGCATTTGTCAACTGCCAAGACGCTCATTCGTATAAATGACGAAGATTTGTTTTACAACATTAGCGCCTTTGCAGAGGCTGTTAATGCGATCTAGTGGATACGGAGTGAGTGTATTCTTTTTTTAAACAGTAAAAATTAGTTTGATTTCGGGACAGAATAGATTAAATTTCGGTATTTACAATTTGATAACAAATAACTCATTGCCGCACTGCAGTGTCGGGGTCGCATCAATCATAATTTATAATAATGAAAATGTAATATTATAATTATATTATCATTTATCTGTCTAAAATCTGTCATAAACTGATAAACTATTAGTTATCAACTATCCGTAATAGTATGGTAGCCGGTAGGTATGAAAATCTTTTTATAATATAAATGAGTTTTTAGCGCTGTGATGAAAATACTTATTGTAATTCCAAACAATAATGGATAATAAACTTATAATGTGCGTTGGACATAGACGTTACAATTTTCAATTAATACCTATGAAGGTACCTAATACAAGTTGTTCTTAATATTAGTTTGTCCTCAGCGAAGTATTGCATAAATAGTAAATACTTAGATGTTTATGTCATTATTCAATAATAAGCAGCTTGCACTATATTACTTATCGAAATAATGCAAGACAATAAACTCCTAGAAACTGTTGCAGATGAATATTGTAATAGGTACCTCTAGTTAAATAGTAAAAAAAATGTATGGATTATTTAAAATCAAAATGAACTCGGAACATTTATACACCTATATAAATAGTTTTGGATATTACTTAAATTGATAGCACTTGAACGTTTACAGGTTAAATTAAAATACCTACCTACTAATCATAATTTATTACTTGAAAATATTAGGTGTGCATGTATTAAAAGTATATTATTTTTTAGGTAAAATGACATTAAATGTTGAGCCTGTTCTCAGTTTATTTGAGAATTCAGTACCTAAAATTCCTTTTTGGAAYATTGATTTACCTAAAAGTCCATGGGATGTAGATGATAACTTAGAAGAATTGGACGTTTTGTGCGAATTGGTTAGAAATCAATATTTAAAACGTCTCCATCAAACATTGCTCAATAATTTAGATGTTACTAGTCATTATAAAAATAAACCTCACTATCAGATTCAACATTGTGTTAATATATGTATGGCTGAATTGGAAAAGCAAGCTTTAAGACGATGTATGATTGCTAGTATTTATCGTGAAGGAATGACTAATGTGGTATGTTTTTATTTCTGTATTAGGTACTATTTAAAATAAACTTTTTATGTTTTTTTGCTTATGTGTGTATCTATAGCTGTTAATTATTTTTACTTACCTATTTTTTATATTAAATTAAAATATTTAATACCATACTTATATCAATTTTAACTTGATGTAGCTCGTTGGAAAATAAAAATAAACGATACCAAATCAATTCACGTAACATTCACTTTACGAAACTCTGATTGCCCTCCAGTTACACTCAACAACAAAGTCTTTGCTTCAGCAAACGAAGTAAAGTACTTAGGGCTCACATTTGACAAACGTCTTACTTAGGGTCCACACCTAAAACTAAAGCGGAAACAAGTTAACTCCAGGCTGCACCTCCTTAGACCCCTTTTAAAATCTAAACTATCCCTAACAAACAAGGTGACAATATATAAAGTGATAATCTGCCCGGCCTGGCTCTATGGCATTCAGCTATGGGGGTTTTCAAAGCCTTCCAACACCAGAACTCTACAAGCTTTTCAATCAATATGCCTACGCCTAATAACCTCCGCCCTCTGGTACGTAACAAATAAAAATCACAAAGATTTAAATCTACCTACCCTTAACGATTTGGCCAAATTCCATTTACCAAATTCTTTTCCAAACTCCACACTCATTACAACCCTTTAATCCAATTAAAACCATACCAAATAATTAACTTAATGTTTCTTGTCAGATGGCACTACTGAGGCATTACCTTTTCTAATCTCCTTAATGTCATAAATACAATATTGTCATCATACTTACTGATTATTGTAAAAATAGATTGTAAATATATTCTTCTAAATAAAAAAAAACTTGATGTAGCCTCCATTTGATAAATAAGTTTATGGTAAATTAACTATAAGTTATTTTCATCATTTAGACTATAAATAATTTAATAAAACACCTATTTGTATTTAATTTAACCTTTATAGATACATAGTTTCACTATTTAAATGATTAAAAATTATTTATATGTTTTATATTTAGATCAATAAAGTCAAGACGTGCACAAAAAATTCAATGCTATATGATTTGCTTAAGCATATTATTGAGTCAAATAATCAAATACCATCAAATGATAAATTATTTGAATCTGGAAATATAAAAGAGAAGAAATCAGTGGGTATTGATGCAAGTGTTAATACTGAACAAAAATGTAATAAAATAACATCAACACAGACTGAAATATGGACAAATGTTGACAATAATTTACTTGATAAATTTCCTATTAATAATGTTAATACAGATCTGGTGAATAAACCTAATATACCATCTAGTCCCTACAAAGTGAAATCTAAGATCTCTGAATCAAATAATATCTTCAATAATTTAAATTCTTTATTAAAGTCATCTTGTTCTTCAAATTCATCTCCTGATGTTCATATGGAAGTAAATTATAAGTATGAATCTTCTGAATTTGAAAATATACAAAGGAAAGACGAACAAGAAAATTCTACATCAAATGATATACTAAGTATTAATGCATTATTAAGAGATCTTCAAGATTCTCCTGAATATGAACAACAGTCTTCAAAATTGGAGGAACGTTTAATTGCACTTGGGTTAGCAATTGAAAATAATAATTCCACAGATAATTTAACCGAGATAACTAAACCAATCAGTATAAGTCCTAATATTATACGTCCAAACAAAATAAATGAAATAATTACAGACAAATTTAAAAGTAAACGAGTTGCCAAGTCATATCAATTAAGGAACAGTATGAATGAATTGCCACAAAATCTACAAATCAGACTGAACCAGAAATTTAATGACTTGTTTGGGAATAGTCATTTTTATGAATCTGATCCATTATCTGAAGAAGAAGAACGTATTATTGCACATAAAAGAATTGTAAAAATGGTTGTAGAATGTATGACACCTTATTACAAAGCACACCGTATCAGCAGACATTTATTTAAAAATCTTGCTAAGTTAATTTCTAAGAATCTTATGGATCGATCATATGACCCAGGTAACTGAGTTTAAATGGTAGTTTACTTTATCTAATTATAAGGTTTTAATAAAAATGTATGAGATTTAACATAAAAATTATCAACTTGTTTAATGTTTAATGTTCAATAGATTTGAGAATATGCCTTAGTAAATAAACATATAAAAAGGTTTAAAAAAATAGGAACAAATTGCAATTCAATTTTTTTAAAATTTATCCAAGTAATATTGTCCATAAACTATTGTATGGTTGAAAATGTGGGAAAATGAAATCATCTCTATRCTATTTGGCATACTTATATACAATAAATATAGTTACGTTTAATTTAGTTTTCATAATAAAATTATATTAAACTTAAAACCATTAATATAATTATACCTTCTAAAAAATTTTTTTTACAATTAATTTTCTGTAACCTTAATAGAAAAATATACTGGTTAAGTAAAGTATAGTTTAAAAAAATTATAATAGTGTATATAAACACTAAAATATAATATTAATATACTACATATATTCAAAGACTTACTCGTATTATATGTATACCTCTAATATAAACCATGACACTTGAAGTACATTGATTTAGAGAACACTAAATTGTTTAACTTCTAAGCTGTATAATGTTGTATTGAATTTGAACATTTTTGACAAAATCAGCTGATATCTAACTAAATTTTAAGAGGGATTTGTGCAGTACAGTTTATATTTTTTAAAACAGCAATATCTATTTTGCATACCATACTTCGATAGTCTTAGTTTTTCAAGTAATTTTGACTTAACAACATTAACTTATAAATCAAAACTGGCTAGTAATTTTTATTTTATAACTAAAATGATAATTATTCACATAGTTTATGCATGTTTCTTGTATATATGTTAATATTTGATTTTTAAATTAAATTTTATAGATGAAAACACGGTAGCCAAAGGAGTTAGCGAATTTTTTGCTGGAAATAGATGCATTAAAACAATTGAAGATATTTTTATCAATAATTGAATAATTACTTCAATAAATTGTAATTCATAATTTATCAATCAAGTACAATATTTTTTTTTGTCATACTTTTATGTTTAGTGATTTTATGATTTATGATTTTCACTCACAAAAAAAAAAATGCTGTCTCCATCTTACAATTATTGTATAGCATAACAAATTATCGTGTTTAACTCTGTTAATTTAAAAATTARAATGAATTGAGTTATTATCAAACTTGATTTTAAGTCATCTATGTTTATGTGGGAGTTTTTTTTCAGTAATTAAGTTTTTAAATGAGTTATGAGCATTTTTAATTTAATATATTCCATATATATAACTTGCTATAATA